ATACATAATACGTGCATGTAAACATGAATGTACACATACATACACGTACAGCCATACAGCTATACATACAAATACACACACATGTGTGCATACATACATGCTGACACATGCATACACATACATAGACACACAAACGTACGTGCATATATGTATACCTAAATCCGCCCATCCATACATACATACATACATACGTATACATGCATGTATACAGACGTGCTGATACATATACACACCCATCTACACATTTACATACATACATGCATGCATGCATACATACAGTCATGCATACATACGCAGATACATACATATATGCAGACATACATACATACTAGAACCACGCGCGCGCTTCGCGCGCGCTTAGGTTCTGTCGAGTCACAGACCCAGGAATCGTTGCGAGAAGAAATTGGAACGCGAAGCGTCTTGGGGGCGTCCTTGGACGTCTGGGGTCTCCTGGGGCCTCTTGAGGGGCCTCCTTATGGCCTCCTGGCGGCCTCTTGGGGCGGAAGGTTCGAGCTTGCGGTTCGTGGTCCCCCTCTGGGCCCCCTCTTGGGCCCGTCTTGGGGCCCTCTTGGGCCATCTTGGGCGCCTCTTGGGCCGTCTTGGGGCCCTCTTGGGCTGTCCTGGGGCCCTCTTGGAAGCTTCTTGGGCCGTCTTGGGGCGGTCTTGGGCGCCTCTTGGGCCGTCCTGTAACGTCGGAAAGCCCAAAAGGCGACTTTGTTAAAAATGTACGTTTTACGAAGGGAATGGGCCAATTCTTGCGTCTAGGGGCCCTCTTGGGACGCATGTTGGAGGCTTCTTGGGGCCTCTTGGGGGCGTCCTTGGACGTCTGGGGTCTCCTGGGGCCTCTTGAGGGGCCTCCTGGGGGCCTCCTGGCGGCCTCTTGGGGCGGAAGGCTCGAGCTTGCGGTTCGTGGTCCCCCTCTGGGCCCCCTCTTGGGCCCGTCTTGGGGCCCTCTTGGGCCATCTTGGGCGCCTCTTGGGCCGTCTTGGGGCCCTCTTGGGCTGTCCTGGGGCCCTCTGGGAAGCTTCTTGGGCCGTCTTGGGGCGGTCTTGGGCGCCTCTTGGGCCGTCCTGTAACGTCGGAAAGCCCAAAAGGCGACTTTGTTAAAAATGTACGTTTTACGAAGGGAATGGGCCAATTCTTGCGTCTAGGGGCCCTCTTGGGACGCATGTTGGAGGCTTCTTGGGGCCTCTTGGGGGCGTCCTTGGACGTCTGGGGTCTCCTGGGGCCTCTTGAGGGGCCTCCTGGGGGCAAGGCTCGAGCTTGCGGTTCGTGATCTTGGGCGCCTCTTGGGCCAAGGCCTCTTGGAAGTTTCTTGAAGGCCGTCTTGGGCTTCTTGGGGCCTCTTGGGGGCTTGGCCATCTTCAGCATCTCGGAGCCCTCTTGGAGGCCTCTTGGAAGTTTCTTGGGCCGTCTTGGGCGCTTCTTGGGCCGTCTTGTCTGACTGGGGAGGCCTCCAGCAAGCCCCGACGAGCCTCCGGGCCCCCCGGGGCGCACATTTGTGGTCCAGGTCCCGGCCCCGGGCCCCCGGACCCGGTGCGCCGTTATATGTATACATATACACACAGACATACAGTCATACAAGCATACGGACACGCAGACAAAAAGACACACGCACATATATACAGGCATACAGACATACAGATAGGCGTGCACACATATCTACATATAGACATGCATGTATACATGCGTGTATATATATATATGTATATATACACATATGTAGATATGTGTATACATGTCTGTACCTATATACTTGTGTACATGCCCCGCCCTGCCCGCCCTGCCCGCCCTTCCCGTCACCTCCCCCACCCACCACCCCGCCCCCATGGAACACAGCCCGTCAGCCCCACCCTCCCACCCCCCGGCGGAAACGTAAAAACAGCACAGAAACTCCCAGCCTAAAAATACGACAACAACACCAAAACATTACACAAACACGTAACGAATTACCAGGCTGCCCAGCAGCGCGCCGCCGAGTTACCGTCTCAATGCCAAACACTCCCGCGGTCTCCTCCACTCACCCCACCTGCCCCCTGCGACCGAATGGAACACAGGCCGTCTTGCCCACGGAGAATCGTCTACGTAAACCGCGTGCTTGATTTCAATGGCCAAGCTCCCAGCCGGACAGGTGAGTGTCTCCAATGTGGGCACAGATGTTGTTACACATATTGTAATGTAATTGCTTGAAGGACCTCCGAAAGCGCCCGTACCAACAGAGCCTCGCGTTCGCTTCCAATGAGAACACAAAAGAAATGCCTGATTCGCCTTGGCTCGGACGGGCAACAGCCCATTCCAGCCTCGCCTCCGTCCGTCTTCTTCATCATCCATATTATGTATATTCCTATCTTTCTCCCCCCTACACACATACAGACACACACCACCGCGTTCCTATTCCTCGTCCTCTCCCTCCTTTGCCCCACGAGTCTTGCCATTCCCCCCGAATCCCTTCCGCCGTTCTCAAATATTCCTGCCCCTCGCTTTCAAGCCCTGATGCCGCCTATGGTGCCGCCCTCACCCGCGGTGTCATCGAACGGCACGCACAGCCCCATGTCCTGAGGCCGGGGGGGTCATTGCGAAGCCCCGCCATACGCGGGGTGGCAGCTGAACGAAGATGGAGAGAACACATCGGGAGATAGGAGGGGAAGGGAAGGGAGGGGAGGAGAGCAGAGGGGAGGGGAAGGGAGAAGGGGAGGGGGTGGAGCATGATGGGGAGCGAGGCGAAAAGGGGAGGAGAAGGAGAGGAGGGAGGTGGAAGATCATTGGGCGATGGGCAGGGAAGGAGAGAAAGAGAGAGAGAGAGAGACAGAGACGAAAGAGAGAAACATAAAGAGAAAGAGAGAGAGAGAGAGACATCACACAAATGGGGAAAAGAGGAAGGAGACATGGCGGGAGAAAGAGAGAGGGCTGGCAGGCGAGATGACGGAAAAAAAGTTACCCGACATGAGGTTGCAGTCGTGCTGTTGGTGGATGGCCTACTGTCGTGCTGTTGGTGGATGGCCTACTGGCGGCCAACATCATGAGCAGACCTCCCCACGCAGCAACCAAGGGAGACTCAACAACCCCCAATGTAGCCCCAATAGATCCACGACGCGCCCAGGAAACTTGTGGGATACGAACAAACGGGAATATGTATTAATATAAGAATACATAAACACATGCATCGACTAAAAAATGCTCAGCGCACTACGATCCCAAGTATGCCCCGACACGGCCCAAGAGGCCACCAGAGAAGCCCGACACCAAGACGGGCCGAGGACGACCCCTTGACGGCCCCCAGGAGCGCCGCAAGATCAGCGCAAGGCGCCCCGAGAAGTCCCAGAGGAGCCACGAGCCCTAAAGAGGCCCCAGAACAGTCCCGAGAGGCCCCCGAGAAGACGAAAGTATCCTTCTCGTTGGGACTACAGCATGTGAGAGGTATGGGATGGGCCGCAAGAGTGATGGACATATAATAAGAAGATGGGAACGCATCCACGCAAATAGCGACCATAGATTGTCCGGGCGTGGAAGGCGCGCGCGCGCCGTTGGGGGAACCCGACCCAAACCGGCGAAAGGATGAGACACTATAAACCCATCCTGGGACCACGCAGCATGGCCCCTGAAGTTGGCGGCGACCTGATAAGTGAGATGAGTAGCACGTTCAATAAATAAGGGCACTGTTTTCCCTCGCACGCGAAAATCACCCCCAAACACACAGAAGCACAACTGGCTGTTTCATGCAAGACAGAACAAAAAAACAAAACAAACAAAAAAACAACAAAACGCGCTGTTGCGTCACGCTCGTCGCCGCCCCACCTCTTTCGAGGCTGTCGGAATGCTACGCGCCCAGAGATGTTACCACAGAGCGGGGCAAATGTCTCAAGCTCGCGTCGAAGTCTGAACTTCTGCCCGCCCAAGACTGCCTGGAACAACAACTTTCTGCTGATGCTACCCTCTGTACGTCCGCGTGCTGTCATGCCACACGCGTCACACCACTGCAAGCAAGTGCAACGCCTACTTCCAGCATTTCTCGCATCCAACGAACGTGTCCTAGCAGTGCGGGTTCGGAGGATGTCTGTAGGTGCGGTGTGCATTACTCGGTGAAGATTGCGTGCCAATTACGCGTCGACGGCCAATCAGATTCTGACTGACAGCCCACCAACTTCTCGGACATGTCGAAGGCTTCAGGCATTGACAGATTAGACAGTAGTTTGTGTCGCGCAAGCAGAGGCGGGCGACAGTCGCCCAGATTGCAAACGGCCGCGAATGCTTCAGTCGCAGTGCTCGGTCGGATTTTGGAGTCGATGAGATTCGCAGTCGCAGAAGCCGCCTACAAAGTGCGCAACGGGCTTTTGTTTCGACGAGAAAACCCGCCACATGGTATTGGCCCCGCTGTGCACGCTCACTTCCCGCGAGGGCGCCTTCGCGGGGCATGCGACCTGGCGCGGGAAGCGGCCCTGGCAGCCGTGGCACCGCATCTCCAAATCTGGATCGGAATGTCGCTACCCGGTCGTCGGTCAATGGTTCGCGTTCGTCGTCGCAGGGGCGCTGGATCTGTCCTCGGTTGGGACCCCTGTCCCACGCTGGGCGCCGTCGTCGGTGACCCCGCCAGGATTGCGCCGCAAATGGGCACGGATCTTGTCCACGGGCAGGGCGAAGGTCGTTGATGACATGGCGTTTTCGCCGTGTCTGTCGAGCAGTCCAACTTCGCTGCAACGGCGGGCCGATGGACCCGCCGTCGCCCATGGGTTGAGACCCCTCTATCATGAAGATAGCGCCGTCTGCAATGTCCACGTCGACGTCACAAATGAAATTTGACGATTTGTCAGTGACACCCTCGCGGGGTTCTCCTTTTCTGGCTTTTCCTTTGCCTGGGGCTCGACGATCCGCACTTTGACCGCGCCCACGATAATTGTTGTCCGTCGCGCCCATCGTTCCTCTGAACAGACATGAATCACGAGACGCCTCTTCCACGCAATCGCATTAGCCATCCTTTCGCCTATTCCTTCTCCCCCCGTCAGTACCCAAATAGCGCGTCACACTCGGCGCACAAGTGTCTCCGCGAATCGTCGCCGTCGCCTTCTGGAACGTTGTGCCGCCCAAAGAAGCATTCGACAGCCGCGTCTTGACTTGAGAAGCGAATTATACCAGCCCGACCCAGATCCCCCAGACCAGCTGAGGACTCAGCGCGAGCGCCCGTGCCGGAGTCGATCGAAGCTTCAGGAGGAGTCCGCGAGGCTCTCGTCTCTCCCCAGAAACTAGCCGAAGGTTGAGGAGGCCCCGGTGAAATGTCTGCCTGCCCCCACCTTTGAACTGACGGGACGTTGTCACTCACTCGGAAGAGCGGCGCAGGGCTTCCCGCCCGCAGAGCCCGAAGTAGCCTTGAAGGGGCTGTCTCCAGGTATAAGCTGGCGCCCGTCGTTGGACAACGAAGGCGTCAACGTGCATAGCGTCCCGTCCATGTCCTAGGCCTCGGCAAAAAAAAAGATGTTACTGTAGGTTTTTTCGATGATGTGCCCATAGGGCGCACCCGTTCAACTAGGTCATCGCAGCGTGATTGGGCAAAGGGTGCCTGTCCGCCGAGTGGCTGCAACAGTGTGATGGTTCTCTGCGTAGCAACACCTAGGCCCCAAAATAGCATGGCACGGAGTACTTGGAAGATCGGAATATAGATGCCTACAGATGGGGCCTCGAGGCGTGCGAGTTCGAATATGGCTAGCGTATCGTCAGTTCGTTCTCCTAGATCTATGTGGAAATCAATGAGGAAGCCAGTGACGGGATCCGCCTGGCCCCGCCCATCTCAACTTCGCGCTTGATGACGTTGCTTGGGGTTATCATCGAAATGTGGCGCGCTGTGCCGCCCAGGCCGCGCTGAAGCGCAGTAGCCTGTGGTTGTGGGGTCACGCGTACGCTCGCTACTTTGAGCCGAGCGGTAGCTTCCAACACCCAGTCTCGGAAAGATACGTTTCCTTGCGGGGACCAATACGGTCCTCGCGTGCTCGTGTCCTCATTTATTTAATCGCTTCGCTCATTCCGCCGGCCCTCGAGCGCTCTATGGGGCCTCTTTGAAGCCTCTTGGGGGCCTCTTTGGGGCCTCCTAGGGGCCTGTTGGGGGCCTCTTGGGGGTCTCTTGGGGCTCCTTGGCGGCGTCTTGGGCCCCCCTTGGGCCTCTTGGGTGGCTCTTGGGGGCCTCTTGGGGCGGGGTAGTCGAGTGCACCCCCCTCGGAGGCCACGATCCTCGTGAGGGGTGTCGAAAAAAGGCCCTCAAAACCATCTCTGATCCGACCCTGCCGGGGATCGCCCAGGGTACTTTTCGCCGGGGGACCCCCAGGGGCCGCCCCGCGCGCGCGAACTAGAAGTATTATTTAGCAGTTACCGGAGATCTTAGCACGCCTCTGGCCCGTTGGGCCGGCGAATTTTGTCTATTTAGCCGATAGCGACTCCAAGTATAAGCCAAAACGCTGCGAAAATGGCGAGTCCGAAATGTGGGGTAGCATTGGCTTAAGGCATCGCCGTCAACTGTCGAATGTTCCTCGAGGTTATATTACCAGGTTCCCCTCGGAGCGACCTGTTTCCAGGAAGCGTGCTTCTAAGCGCGTACGTTGTAGGATCCTTCCTGTGGTTGGCACAGCTTGTAGTGGTACTGAATGGCATGCCCAATGATGGTGAAACTCAATCTCGAACGACCTGATACATCGTGCCGCAAATACATCAAGCTGCTTTTCACCAGAGATATCTGGTTGGCCTGCGCCAGTCGCAAATGAGGTATTCGCGGGGAGTCGGCGCAGGTAGGGCGCATTAGGTGGTGTAGAGCAGGATCAACAAAGCGGGACCCAGTCTGAGCAGGTCAGCTCTGCTAACAAGTCGAACCTGTAGTTCTCGTCTTCTCGTCGGAGAGACATCATGTAAGAGGTATGTGATGATGCATAGTAAGAAATATGGATGTAGCATAAACGGTGAGAACATTCCCCCGAAAATCGCGAGTACTAAATGCTCAGGCATATCAGGCGCGTGCCCTTCAAGCACCTGAGCCCAATCGGCAACGGGATGGTACTATGTAAGCCTATCCTGAGACCACCCAGTATGCCCTGAAGTCGAGAGGCCCCCAAGGCGCCATCCAGCAAGCCACGAAAGACCCACAAGGTTGGGCAATTGAATCCACTGCGGCTGGTTGCCCCAGGAGGGTCAGGAAGGGCCAGAACAAGCTCACATGACAACGAAGACGGCCCTTAACGGGACTCAACACGGCCCAACGGCACCCAAAGCAGCCCCAAGACGGTCAAAGACTGCACGACGATGACCCGAAGGTCCACCAGAGGCCCCAAGATGGCACCAGAAGACCCCAAGAGGCCCCGAAGAAACCCCACAAGTAACCTGGGAGGCCGAAACCGCTGGTTCAACCTGGCTTCCCATGAGCTTTTCAGGGCCCTTCAGCGTAAGATGAGTCCAGGACAGCTGCACGCAGGCCCAAGGTGGCCCAAGACGGCCCAGAGGGGACCAAGACTGACCGCCCAAGAACGCCCCAAGACTGCACAAGACCGCCCCAACACGTCACCAAGGCGGCCCCAAGACCCATCCAGGCGTCCCGAAGATGCTTCGACTGTGCTTCCCTGGAGCCCATGGTAGAATTACGAGGTAGACAGAATCGGCTTACCTATACAACCACCCTTCAAATGATAAGGAGGTTGTGGGGGGGAGAGGGGGGGAAACAACATCTGACTCAATCGATCTAACTATCGATCTCACTCAAAGGGACACCACGGGACACCACGGGACACCACGGGACACTTGTCCACCTCACTATCGATCTCACTATCGATCTCCCTCAACGGGACACCACGGGACACCACGGGCCACCACGGGACACCACGAGACACCGCAGGACACCTCTCGATCTCACTATCGGTCTCACTATCGATCTCATTATCGATCTCACTCAACGGGACACCATAGGACACCACGGGACACCACGAAGCACCTCGGGACACCACGTCGATCTCACGATCGATCTCACTATCGATCTCACTTTTTGGGACACCACGGGACACATCGGGGCACCACATCGATCTCAGTATCGATCTCACTATCGATCTCACTATCGCCACGGGACACCACGGGACACGTGTCGATCTCACTATCGATCTCGCTATCGATCTCACTCAACGGGACACCACGGGACACTACGGGCCACCAAGGGACACCACGGGACACCGCTAGGGCCACCACCAGACGGAGGAGAATCATTTGTCTTGACTTCGCCCTAGCAACGGCGGACACCACGGAACACCACGGGACACCACGGGACATCGCTAGGGCCACCGCCGGACGGAGGAGAATCATGTGTCTTGATTTCGCCCTAGCAACGGCGGACACCACGGGACACCACGGGCCACAATGAGACACCACGGGACACCGCTAGGGCCACCGCTGGACGGACGCAGGAGAATAATTTGTCTTAACTTTGCCATAGCAACGGCGGGTTAATTCCTCTCGCGCGCCAACGCAGCTTCGCCTCGTCCGCACGCACGAAACGAACGAAACGAACCGACTTCCCGGTTTGGGGTCTCCGTTCCACTGCGATCTCACCCTCCAAACTCCGATGGTAGAAGAACCCGTGAGCCATCTCCAGGCAAAGCTGGCACGGTGGCAGGATTTGCCGCAAGCGGCTGCATGTGTCCTTCTCTACCTACATATGTTGCATTGATTCATACGCTCCAAGTATCCGTCAGATGGCTCATCATGGTAGTAACCATCACTATACATGTGTGAGAAGCCGTGACTTGTTCGTGGGTATCACAGATTGCAATGGATATGCTGCTACTTGCGCAGGTGCCCAACAACGATGTGCCAGGGGAGGGTGGTGGACATTCCGCTGCCAGTCGTCAGTCGGTTGGCGTAGCTGCTGTCTGAGAATCTTTCAGGAGGCATACACTGTTACAGACCGTACCACCCATCGACGTGTTGCATTGTGTGGGATCCGGGTTGGTTCGACAGTTGCTTTCCTGAAGCTGTCGCACAGTTCGGTGGCAGCCGACATCAGCGGGTTGTAATGCTGGTGGGAAGCACCAACCCATCACACGTCATCTATCAAAGTGTGCGAGATATACCAAGGATGAGGATGCCGTGGCGGCGGGAATCACTGGAAAGAGGCTGCCCTGCACGACACAGATGATAGCCCAGCGTAAATTAAAGCGCCTACCACACAGCCATCGTCTAACTCTCAATACTCTGCGACTGATGTCGTGTGCAAATGGTTAGACGAGGATGTGCGGGATGGCTTACACATCCCCCGCCACCCCTCTCCGTTTCCAGACAGTCCCACACCCCGCCCGCACCCACCCTCAAGAAAACAGAGTCCCCACATTCCATGTTCATTCCGACCCACATCCTCGTCGCTTCATCCTCCCTACCGTCACGCCTGCCTCCACGCCCCGCCCCCCCTCCCCTCCCCCTTCCCCTCGTTGCATCCCAGAGGGTCCACCAGCACTGGCCGCGGTGCCGCATACGAGCTGCTGCTGGCCACGACTACGTTGGATTCCTGCTCGGGCGGGGCAGGCTCGCGCGAGCTGCCGAGGAGGGCGGCGGGGATGGGAGGGCGGGGAAGGAGGGGAGAGGAGGGGAGGGAGGGAGGGAGGGGGGGGGGGGAGGCAAGTTAGGTGCGCTCGCGGCATATCTGACATCCTACCCCTCCCTCCCATCCCTTACCATAGCGTAGATCCCCTCTCTACTCGCACAGTCGGATGTCGAGTAGGGCAATGATCCCGAAAGGGTACGCGATGAATTGTAGAGCACGGCATGACATGGGGTAGAAGAGCACCGCAAAGCGTAGTATGTCACAGCATGGCGTGGCGCGGCGCAGTGAAGAATTGCATCACAAAGTTTTGCAACGCAAAGCATGGCATCGCACAGCGGCCCCGAACATAACATTGCATAGCATGGCGTTGAAGATCAAAGCGTAGCATGGCATAGCATGGCGTGGCACTTAAGCACTGGATATGACAGCTGCAGCCGAAGGCATGGCATCGCGCAGCGGAACGCAACCTAGCATTGCATTACATGCCGTGGCATGGCACGGGAAATGACGCCAGCGCTGCAGCGGGAGCACGATTCGGAACGAGCGGAAGCGCGGAAATGAGGCCAGCGCTTCAGCGGGAGCACGATTCGGAACGAGCGGAAGCGCGGAAATGAGGCCAGCGCTTCAGCGGGAGCACGATTCGGAACGAGCGGAAGCACGGAAATGAGGCCAGCGCTGCAGCGGGAGCAGGATTCGGAACGAGTTGAAGCCCGAAAATGAAGTCCGCGCCTCAGTGAGAGCATAATTTTGAAAAACAACCAAGCGATAACCCAACTCCGGGAAATCCTGTGTGTAAACAAACAGTACGCGGAGGGTGCCCGATTCCGCACGCCATCAGGGGATGGAGGAGAGTAGTACTCATATTGTGTAATTGTAGAAGGGGGGGCAGCATGTAGGGGGCGGGGGGGGCAGGGGGGCAAGTGTGGGAGGCAGAGCGGCAAGGGGCGGGGAAAGGGAAAACAGGAGCCAGGGACGATGGGGTCGGCACCGGGGGTGGGAACGAGGGATGGTGGACGGGAGATGGGTGGACAAGGACGGGGAAAGGGTGCACGGGGGACAAAGCTGGGAGCGGAACAGGAGAGGGAACGGGGACAAGGACGGCGACCATCATCATGATCATCAACAGCAGCATCGTCATCGTCGTCGTCGCCATCGTCATCATCATCCGCATCATCATCACGACCACAATCATCATCAGCATCATCAGCATCGCCAGCTTCACCTTCCTCGTTATCAGCATCGCCATAATCAGAATCAGCATAACAATCATCATCATCGTCATCATCATCAACCACAGCATCATCAGCATCATCATCATCATCATCATCATCATCATCATCATCAGCATCAGCATCGGCATCATCGTCATCCTCATCCTCATGAGCATCATAATCATCATCGTCATCATCATCCTCAGCATCATCATCATCATCATCAGCAGCATCAGCATCAGCATCAGCATCAGCATTATCATCATCATTGTTGTTATAATCATCATTATCATCATCATCATCATCATCATCATCAGCATCATCAGCATCATCATCATCACCATCATCATCATCACAATCACCATCATCGCTCCCGACCCCCCTCTCCTCACCCTCATCCCTGGCACGCCTTCACGTCGCAGTGGATAAAGCCTCTGCTGTGCAGGTGAGCCAGGCCCTCCAAGCACTGCTTGAAAAGGCCACGCCACCAGCGCTCACTCAGGCTGACGCCTGCCCCCAAGCTTGCGCAAGAGGAACGAGCAGGAGGAGCAGGAGGAGGAGCCGAAGCTGGAGGGAGGAGCAGGAGAAGGAGGATGATTTTGAAACAGTGGATCCGATCTGCGTTCGTGCCATGAATATTTCCCGACTGCAAGCTCATGGCAGAGTTCATTGTGCAGCTGCATTGGGGAGAGCGCTGGCCCTGGAAACTAAATTCCGAACAACATCGGCGCAAGTCGCAGCAAGTTTGAACGAGTCGTCTCCCAAAGGCACACGGAACCCAAAAACGATCCCAATACGATCAAAGATCGGGCCAAAACCGCCCAACAACCGTTCTAACAAGAATCGTATGCCACGATGCCACATGACACGAGCATCTAGGACATCGGGAATTCACTTGCCAGGCACGATAACCGCATGCCATTGCAGAAGCGGACTGTTACATGCTACGTCAGTTTATGCATTAGCTCTCAGAGCCTTGATGATAAGCGCGTCCTGGGATAGACGTGCCACACGTTCCGACCCTCTAGAGCCCAGGGCGAGAACTTGTCACACGTAGCGGCCTCTTGCGCGCTTCTCAAAGACTCGTCACACTCTACACCATGCTGGCACAACGAAGGAACTTGCCGCAAGCACCGAAATGTTCACGCCTCCATCGTTTCCACCCCGATACAAACGCTCAAACCGGGACACAGTGCTCGACACCCAAAAACCAGGTACAAGGTTCTTCCCTGAATGGAAAAGTTGTCCTCGACGTTGCAATCGTCGGCGCTGCAAGCAACATAGCAAAACCAAAGCATCGCCCTCGAGAAAGCGCAATGTTGCCCTCGCGTCAGCGCCGGAAAGGCCGCTCCAAAATACGCGCCCGCTTCGGCGTGGGATCCACTTGCGCGCTGAAGAAACGAAGATGTGGTCTTGCTCGAACGGGGCCGCACGCGCGCTCCGTGAACCGTGCGCTCCCGTATGCACTGGGAGCACTGTGCTCACGTCGAGCGTGGGATGGGGCCACGTCGGTTCGAGGCTTCTGCCACGCCACTCTGCTGGACCGATTGAGCGGCACGAAGCCACAGCCATATGGGTGAAGAAGACGGACACCCGACCGGGTTCACCGCACCGGCTCTGAAGAAGACGGAGTTACCGAAGAAGACGAGGAGGAGGAAGAATAATGACGCGCACCGAAAGTAGCTCCCATGCGGCAGGTTCACGACGAGATAACATCAGAGTTGGTTTTTGACACC